CACCTAGCATGGACTGAGAGACCCCCAGCACCCCACCTAGCATGGACAGAGAGCCCCCCAAACCCACCTAGCATGGACTGAGAGACCCCCAAATCCACTCATAGCAAGGACTGAGAGCCCCCCAAATCCACACCTAGCATGGACTGAGAGCCCCCCAAATCCACACCTAGCATGGAATGAGAGCCCCCCAAATCCACTCATAGCAAGGACAGAGAGTCCCCCAAATCTCCACATAGCTAGGACTGATATATCAGAACACAGTGTGTACATCCCACCAGAACCAGGAGGCATTAAGACCCATATTCAATCAGAACCTGGTGACCAGGGAGCCAACATTTTGTTAGATCCAGGGGTACGTTGGAGAAAATCTGGGTCACATTTGGCAGAACTCCAGACTCAATCTCCAACCCAACAACCTGGCCATGGAGGAGCGCAGTTTCCATCAGAACCTGGAAAAATGAGAACTCACACACGATCAGAACCAGAGCCAACATGGACCAATAACCCATCGCAACTTAACTCCACCAGAACCAAAACCATCCGACATGCTTACATCCCAGTAGAACCTCCAAGAACCAAGAAACATGACTTTACCAAGCCAGGGAACAGGACTGGGACACAAATTTCATCAGAACCAGAGGGTCCTAGGAACCACATCCTCTCAGAGAACAAAGACCCTTCAATTAAAATCTCAACAATATCAATCAAACCTTCCGTAAAGAACCAGTCAGAACACACATACACAGAACCAGACAGGACAAGCATGTACACAGCATCAGAACCAAACAGGACTGGCACATACCCTTCATCTCAGCTAAACAAAATGACTAAATACTCATCAACTGACCTAAACAGGACAAGGAGCCCTCTACAAACTGACCTAAACAGGACAGGGAGCCCTCCACCAACTGATCTAAACAGGACAAGGAGCCCTCTACCAACTGACCTAACCAGGACAAGGAGCCCTCTACCAACTGACCTAAACAGGACAGGGAGCCCTCCACCAACTGACCTAAACACGACAGGGAGCCCTCCACCAACTGACCTAAACATGACAGGGAGCCCTCCACCAACTGACCTAAACAGGACAGGGAGCCCTCTACCAACTGACCTAAACAGGACAGGGAGCCCTCCACCAACTGACCTAAACACGACAGGGAGCCCTCCACCAACTGACATAAACAGGACAAGGAGCCCTCCACCAACTGACCTAGGGAGCCCTCCACCAACTGACCTAAACAGGACAGGGGGCCCTCTACCAACTGTCCAAATCAGGACAGAGAGCCCTCCACGAACTGACCTAAACAGGACTGGGAGCTCTCCAACAACTGATCTAAACAGGACAGGGAGCCCCCTACCATCTGACCTAAACAGGAGTAGGACCTCTCAACCAACTGATCTAAACAGGACTGGGAACTCTCAACCAACTGATCTAAACGGGACCGAAAGCCCTCCACCAACTGATCTAAACAGGACTGGGACCTCTCAACCAACTGATCTAAACAGGACTGGAAGCCCTCCACCATCTGATCTAAAGAGGACTGGGAGCCCTCTACCAACTGACCTATACAGGACTAGAAGCCCTCCACCAACTGATCTAAACAGGACTGGGAGCCCTCTACCAACTGATCTAAACAGGACTGGGAGCCGCTCACTCGCAGAACCAAACAGGACAGGGAGCCCTCCACCAACTGATCTAAACAGGACTGGGAGCCCTCTACCAGCTGATCTAAACAGGACTGGGAGCCCTCTACCAACTGACCTATACAGGACTGGGAGCCCTCTACCAACTGATCTAAACAGGACTGGAAGCCCTCTACCAACTCTAAACGGGACTGGGACCAGCTGACCTATACAGGACTGGGGCCCTCTACCAACTGATCTAAACAGGACTGGGAGCTCCTCAACAACCTGATCCTAAACAGGACAGGGAGCCCCCTACCATCTGACCTAAACAGGGTGGGACCTCTCAACCAACTGATCTAAACAGGACTGGGAACTCTCAACCAACTGATCCTAAGCGGGACCGAGAGCCCTCCACCAACTGATCTAAACAGGACTGGGACCTCTCAACCAACTGATCTAAACAGGACTGGAAGCCCTCCACCATCTGATCTAAAGAGGACTGGGAGCCCTCTACCAACTGACCTATACAGGACTAGAAGCCCTCCACCAACTGATCTAAACAGGACTGGGAGCCGCTCACTCGCAGAACCAAACAGGACAGGGAGCCCTCCACCAACTGATCTAAACAGGACTGGGAGCCCTCTACCAGCTGATCTAAACAGGACTGGGAGCCCTCTACCAACTGACCTATACAGGACTGGGAGCCCTCTACCAACTGATCTAAACAGGACTGGAAGCCCTCTACCAACTGACCTATACAGGACTGGGAGCCCTCTACCAACTGACCTATACAGGACTGGGAGCCGCTCACTCGCAGAACCAAACAGGACAGCCACACACAGTGCTGACACAGAGCATGCCGGATCAGAAACAGGAAGAACAGAATCACATCCTCTATCAGGAATAAGAGAGACGAGCTCAGGTGAGAGAGCCCCCAAGAACCCCAAAAAGTTTAAATTCAGCCATATCAGATTTTCACTAAATTGAGAATTGTCAGAAATTTCAGAGGAAATTCTTATTTTACTCCAATAGCAGGAGTATGAGAATATATCCAGATTGGGAATTCCTGGTTTAGTGACTAGAAAGGAACATTTATTGTATGTAATGCCAATGGCATGGGAGCTTCCTGATCTGAAGAGCTTACAGTCACAGAAACCCACCACGAGACTCATTACACTATTTATACACAAACATTTCCTTATTATTATTTCACAGCAACTCCCATCACTCAGAGTCCCTTCTGAGAATATATTGCTTATTCTGATTCCATTATAATCTCTGTATAACACTCATACACACACAGTAACTCCGATCTCTGTATAACACTCATACACACATAGTAACTCCGATCTCTGTATAACACACACACAGTAACTCCGATCTCTGTATAACACTCATACACACACAGTGACTCCGATCTCTGTATAACACTCAGACACACACAGTAACTCCGATCTCTGTATAACACTCATACACACACAGTGACTCCGATCTCTGTATAACACTCAGACACACACAGTAACTCCGATCTCTGTATAACACTCATACACACACAGTAACTCCGATCTCTGTATAACACTCATACACACACAGTAACTCCGATCTCTGTATAACACTCATACACACACAGTGACTCCGATCTCTGTATAACACTCATACACACACAGTAACTCCGATCTCTGTATAACACTCATACACACACAGTAACTCCGATCTCTGTATAACACTCACATAGTAACTCCGATCTCTGTATAACACTCATACACACACAGTGACTCCGATCTCTGTATAACACTCCCACAGTAACTCCGATCTCTGTATAACACTCAGACACACACAGTGACTCCGATCTCTGTATAACACTCATACACACACAGTAACTCCGATCTCTGTATAACACTCACATAGTAACTCCGATCTCTGTATAACACTCATACACACACAGTGACTCCGATCTCTGTATAACACTCCCACAGTAACTCCGATCTCTGTATAACACTCAGACACACACAGTGACTCTGATCTCTGTATAACACTCATACACACACAGTAACTCCGATCTCTGTATAACACTCACATAGTAACTCCGATCTCTGTATAACACTCATACACACACAGTAACTCCGATCTCTGTATAACACTCACATAGTAACTCCGATCTCTGTATAACACTCATACACACACAGTGACTCCGATCTCTGTATAACACTCCCACAGTAACTCCGATCTCTGTATAACACTCAGACACACACAGTGACTCCGATCTCTGTATAACACTCACAGTAACTTCGATCTCTGTATAACACTCATACACACACAGTGACTCCGATCTCTGTATAACACACACATAGTAACTCCCATGTCTGTATAACACTCATACACACACAGTGACTCTGATCTCTGTATAACACTCACATAGTAACTCCAATCTCTGTATAACACTCATACACACACAGTGACTCCGATCTCTGTATAACACTCCCACAGTAACTCCCATCTCTGTATAACACTCATACACACACAGTGACTCCGATCTCTGTATAACACACACATAGTAACTCCCATCTCTGTATAACACTCATACACACACAGTGACTTCGATCCCCTTATAACACTCACATAGTAACTCCCATCTCTGTATAACACTCCCACAGTAACTCCAATCTCTATATAACACTCATACACACACAGTGACTCCGATCTCCTTATAACACTCCAATAGTAACTCAGATCTCTGTATAACAGTCATACACACACAGTGACTCCGATCTCTGTATAACACTCATACACACACAGTGACTCCGATCTCCGTACAACACTCGTACACACACAGTAACTCCGATCTCTGTATAACACTCACATAGTAACTCCGATCTCTGTATAACACTCATACACACACAGTAACTCCAATCTCTGTATAACACTCATACACACACAGTAACTCTGATCTCTGTATAACACACACATAGTAACTCCGATCTCTGTATAACACTCATATACACACACGGTAACTCCGATCTCTGTATAACAATCATACACACACAGTAACTCCGATCTCTGTATAACACACACACAGTAACTCAGATATCTGTATAACACTCATACACACACAGTAACTCCGATCTCTGTATGACACTCACACAGTAACTCCCATCTCTGTATAACACTCATATACACACACGGTAACTCCGATCTCTGTATAACAATCATACACACACAGTAACTCTGATCTCTGAATAAAATACACACAGTAACTCCGATCTCTGTATAACACTCATACACACACAGTAACTCCGATCTCTGTATAACACACACACAGTAACTCAGATATCTGTATAACACTCATACACACACAGTAACTCCGATCTCTGTATGACACTCACACAGTAACTCCCATCTCTGTATAACACTCATATACACACACGGTAACTCCGATCTCTGTATAACAATCATACACACACAGTAACTCTGATCTCTGAATAAAATACACACAGTAACTCCGATCTCTGTATAACACTCATACACACACAGTAACTCCGATCTCTGTATAACACACACACAGTAACTCAGATATCTGTATAACACTCATACACACACAGTAACTCCGATCTCTGTATGACACTCACACAGTAACTCCCATCTCTGTATAACACACACATAGTAACTCCCATCTCTGTATAACACTCGTACACTCAGTAACTCCGATCTCTGTATAACACTCATACACACACAGTAAGTCCGATCTCTGTATAACACTCATACACACAGTAACTCTGATCTCTGTATAACATTCATACATACACTTTAACTCCCATCTCTGTATAACACTCCCACAGTAACTCCCATCTCTGTATAACACTCATACACACACAGTAACTCCGATCTCTGTATAACACACACACACACACACACACACAGTAACTCCGATCTCTGTATAACACTCCCACAGTAACTCCGATCTCTGTATAACACTCATACACACACAGTAACTCCGATCTCTGTATAACACACACACACACAGTAACTCCGATCTCTGTATAACACTCCCACAGTAACTCCGATCTCTGTATAACACTATTGCATGCAGACTGACTCCGTAATATGTATGATTTTAATTGCCGCTCTCTGTATAATGCACACTGTAAAATACAGATACAGGTGTCTCCCACCAGTCCATGGTGGGCCCTTGATCAGGATTTAGGAGCAGGTGCCAGTTTAATCCTCTTACATTACCCAGACATCTGTTCCTGCTCCACATTAACCCATCGTTGTCATTAAGGGGCGGACGTGGTCTAATCACGCAGTAAATGGTCTGGGTGGTAAAAGCCAGGCTGGGTTTATTGTGTGTGGAACGTGCTAAATATAAGACTATGTGTACAGAGCCCAGCGGAACATTGCAGACTCTGCCAAAAATATACAATATTTATCTGATCTTATACAGAGCTGAGAATGAGCCAGTAATTGAGACTTTTTAACTCTTTACAGGAAAGTGCTAAGAAGATGGGCAGGGTAATCGCGGGGCTAGGAAGGTGGCTAGGTCAGAGTGAGGGCTAGGAAGGCGGCTAGGTTAGTGTCAGGTCTAGGAAGGCGGCTAGGTCAGAGTGTGGGCTAGGAAGGCGGCTAGGTCACAGTGTGGGCTAGGAAGTTGGCTAGGTCAGAGTGTGGGCAAGGTAGGCGGCCAGGTCAGAGTGTGGGCTAGGAAGGCGGCCAGGTCACAGTGTGGGCTAGGAAGGTGGCTAGGTCACAGTGTGGGCTAGGAAGGTGGCTAGGTCACAGTGTGGGCTAGGAAGGCGGCTAGGTCAGAGTGTGGGCTAGGAGGCGGCTAGGTCACAGTGTGGGCTAGGAAGGAGGCTAGGTCACAGTGTGGGCTAGGAAGGCAGCTAGGTCACAGTGTGGGCTAGGAAGGCGGCTAGGTCAGAGTGTGGGCAAGGAAGGCTGTCAGAAAGTGTGGGCTAGGAAGGCGTCACAGTGTGGGCTAGGAAGGCGGGCTGTGGGTCACAGGTGGGGCTAGGCCTGTGAGGTGGGCTAGGTGAAGGCAGCTGTGGTTACGGTGAGGGCTAGGAAGGCTGCTAGGTCAGAGCGAAAAGGCCAGAAGCATGTATTAGGTTAGTATGCCACCAGGTCTAGGAAGGCGGCTAGGTCAGAGTGTGGGCTAGGAAGGCAGCTAGGTCACAGTGTGTGCTAGGAAGGCGGCCAGGT